GCGGTTAGGACCAAACTTTTTCAGCCCACAGTTCCACTCTTCCCAGTGTTAGTGGTCCTGGAACCAATAGTGTCAAACATGGTTCTGCACAATACGTCCATCAGATTCAACTGTTCAGCAACATTGTCAGGATTTCGAAGATGAACGAGGGGAAGGCAGACGCACGTGGATTTACTCTCAGGTTATTATTGTCTTGAGTTCACATTTTTGGGCATTTCATATTCTAATTGAACAGACTTCACCTGCACATGTCCACTTTAGTGAGACAGACTGTAACCAAAAATGCAATGAGCTGTAGCTCTCAATCCCTTATAACAACGACAACAACATCCAGGGTGAGGGCACAGTAAGGTTGAACCGTGTCCACCAGACAATCTCAGGTGGCTAACGCCATATCTCCCATCAAGTCAGCTCTATTTTTCAGCGCATAATTATTTTTTTACATTTTGAATAAAGGAATTAAAAAAAACATATTTAACAAACCTAGACATTTCCAAATACAAAACTTTTTAACCCTTTCTAGACTTCGTTCCAATTAACCTGGATCATTCAACTCGCTCGCGAAGGTCGTATACTACTTTAAAGTTAATACATCTACAGTGTACAAGTAACTTTTAACTGTATCATATATACTCATAATAAGCAATTATCTTCGTTCCTAATTCGAATGAGCACATTCTGGGGCTAAATCTGTAAAAGGTCAGACAGAATATTTATTGGTACAATGCAAACGATACAAACGTAGCGGCTTATAACAGAGACAATGATTTAATAATCTGCAATATATCATTTGTTCTCGTTCATTCTATTGTACATATTGAAGTGATTGTAAAGTTTCAAGGAGTACTAAAATGTTGTGGTATTATGAATGAATTTAGAATATGAATAGCGAAAAACAGTCACCATATGGGATGTACATGTATAACTTGTCTTCCAGCACCACGCTTGTGCCGAGGCCTGTGGTCATAAAACTAATCGGTCCAATAAAAGCAGCAACAAGTTTCGCAGATATCCGCTGTACTTGCTATGGTTCAATCCCATTTGTCAGACGACCTAATCATCAGACAGACCAGTCAAGTGTGATCAGTGTACCTGCCTGGTCTTACGTCAGAATTACTGAGCTGCCCAATACTGTCATACTGTGGGCAGAGTAAGCGGCTCCAACTCGTTGAGTGATACAGATTAACCAGATTATGATTGTGTTTGTAAGTTGCGTTTGATATCTGTGTCGGGTTGCAGTTGTTTTATTAGGCAAGACCAGGGGTGTTTTTTTCAATGAAAGCTTTTAACCGTTGAGTTTGTTTTGCATACATTTCATTAAATACATTGTGAGGTAGAATAATTACACGTTATATAGATTAAACATCTCCCTAACCTGAGTATAATCTCACATGTACTCCTAGTCCCGTACTATATTACTTTGAGGAGACATTGAGTAGGCATTGTATGCTGTCGGAATGACTTTACACAAATCCCTGCGTCAATGGACCCGTGAAGATCCGGGGTAGAACAAATCTTCAACAACCTATTCTTGGCGTAAAAGGGCGACAATGCTTGTCGTAAGAGGCGACTACCGGGATCGGATGGTCAGGCTCGCTGACCTGGTTGATGCATGTCACGGTATCCCAATTGCTTGGATCGATGCACATGATGTCAATCACTTGATTGTCTGGTCCAGACTCGATTATTTACAGACCGCCGTCATATAGCTGAAATATTGCTAAGTGCGGCGTTAAACAACTAACAAACAAACAAAACTTTGAGGAATTCACAACAATCACTATGACGAGGTATGCATATCTTGCAACCAAACTGAATCCAGTTACTGGAATGTCAAACCCGGTTAAAACAAGAATTGCAGTTAGATCCGCTATATGTTGTAGATCTCCTGTAGGCAAGATATGCAATAGCGAGGCAGCACTATGTCAATTTATGAGGGACAGACAACTACTCGAACATATATAAACAGAGCAGCCAAAGATAAAAATGAATACATCTCATGTACGAAAAAGAAATCATATCAATACAAAAAGAGAAAATATAGGAGTACTAAAACTTGCAATAGATTTGTGTACCCTACGCACACACATAAGTCCCATTCGACAGTCTACAACACACGAATAACTGTCAAACAAATTTGGGTACCCCTTGTGTTCAGGCAAGTTATTTAGTTCAATAATTTTGAATTGAAATCCTTTTCAATTTGTTTTCACCATTTTCCCTATTTCATTCCATGTATGTTTATGTTGCTACATCTTAGTGCCCATGTCCCCAAGTATTAAAAAAAACACCTTAATAAACGTTCTCCTTCCTAATCTAACGTGAAAACATTTCAGGTCATTACCATCATCTAATACACAAGAGATGATACCAAGTCATATTTAATTCGGTTTTATGGTCTATGCGGTCTTACAATTGATTTTAGTCTTTAAATCTTATGTCTTGTACAAATTTTCACAAACAGGGCTGTTAGCTGATATAAGGAAGGTAACATCAAGTTGAATTCCCAGTTGATGTATTTACTTTTTTATATCAAATATGAGGACTGTATACGACATACGTTAGTCTCGTAACGACGTTTCTTCAATTAATATTTTGAATAAGCCGTTAATATGCCAGTTTTGACAGGGATGGTGGTATGGTATCTGTAGGAGACAGATTGACAGTCGTTGTTACGTGCGTCACTAGGTAATTAGTACGGCATTGACCTTGTTGATTGTTGCTATACTTTGAGGATTTCTGTGGCCAGTGGCGGACGTAGTTCAAATTCCTTCCACACTGACACCGCATCAAATATATTTGTGTACCGATTACATAACTCTTACGGACAGGGTGGGGTGGTAGTTCACCGGACGACACTGTGTATATTGGGCGGCTCCTTTGATATCTCCTCCAAACACACTTTTATTCAATGACCCATTAAACGATGATACACATCTCGTTGAATATATCAAGGCACTAATTCATCTTTCATAAACTGTTTTTGTCTTTGTGCTTAATATATCCACATATCAACGAAAATATGTAAAACATGTATCCACAAAACATAAACATATACAGGCCAAGTATTTGCCAACAGCAACACCTGCATAACTGTTTATTCACGCGTGGTGTGGTATATCGTAATTGACCGAGAGCAGGTATTGTAGAATCACCTGTAAATAATGCCGACACTGTAATTAGATACAACATACTAGTGAGAATATGAGAATTATCATAAGAAGGCTGTTGTTTTTTCTGAACTGTTACCATTTTCATACCAAAAGTGACAATGCATTTAAAAGTTGCTTTAGTGTCATAAAATATTCACTCAAGTTTTCCTCAATTGCCTGTAAACATCGCACCGCATATAATGAAATAATTATTTCGAGATTTCGTTAGAATGTGAGATATTCAGCTAGACGTTATGCAATGAAAGACGAATTGGTTTTTTCCCCATTAAAATATGCACACGTGTACCTGTATATTGCATATCTAGTGCCACTTAATTTCCCAGTGTGATGTATCAACGAGACATAAAATGGGAAATGAAAAAGAAACAAACTAATCTTTAATTCGTTGGAAAATAACGCCAATGAATTGGTGTACACGCGCACGAATTCGTATGATAAACTGTTAAAACGTTTTGAGAGGTAAGGCCGGGTTCATTAAAGATCGTTGCAATATGTAAAAAAGGTGAAATTTGTAAAACTTCTGCAAAGGAAACATCCAACCAAAGGCCCTTTTTAAAAGATATGTAATGATATAATATAAAGTATATTTCACATGATACAATATACTTTGTACACAATTAGTTAAGTCTTTAAAGGGACTGAAGAAACCATGGGCGAAATATTTAGATAACGCCAAAAATTAGTTGAATTAAGATTAAATGAGTTGAATCATGTATCATGCTTATAATCCCTTAATGTATTTGCTGTTGAGCAAAGGAAAATATTCTCAAACCTTTTTCTCGCCCATGGGCGAAATATTTCAATATCGCTATAAAATCTTTGAATTTAGTTAAAATGAGTTACGTTTTGTGTCATGATACTTGAAAGATATACATATATGTATGTGCGAAAGAAAAACATGAGTTTTAAGTAAAGGAAAATATTCTCGCCCATGGGCCAAACTTTTTTCTCGCCCATGGGCGAAATATTTCAATATCGCTATAGAATCATTGAATTAAGTTAAAATAAGTTAAATTGTGTGTCATGATACTTGAAAGATATACAGATATGTATTTGCGAAACGAAAACATGAGCTTTAAGTTAAGGAACATATTCTCGCCCATGGGCTTACCCATGGGCCAATCTTCGCCCACGGGCCACAGTTCCCCCATGGGCAGGCCCATGGGCGACATGGTGTAAATATTGAGATTTTGAACATTTTCTTTTTCATTTTTTCTTCCTTGGTATGTTCCCATGAAAACAACATGTTTAATTTTGTAAATACCTTTGACCGAGACTGGGCAAAGACCGTAGAGTTTCTGGACTATTGGGTTTCTAGAATTAAAATGGGACGTGTTATATGAAGGAATGAAATCTAAATTTTATCGATCATAATAAGAAGCTGCCAGATACATTACAGTTTCGGCATGCTGGGTGTTCTCAAACCACGGTGGAAAAGAACTGTCTCCTCTTTTCATAGTTTTGAAGTAGTGACCAAAAACACACCTAGGCTCTAACATAAGAAAAAAAACACCCCAAGTCTAAAATATTATGAATCCAAAGAAATATGTGTTTAAATACTCTCCATAATCCAGCAACTTGAACCCAGTACCAAGTGACTCAATACTTAAAATGTCGGTGAAATAGCTCTTGGTGTTTGTGGAAAAACTCAGTGTCATTTATTTTCCTGTGTGAAAGAACTGAACATTAATGAAAAGAACGCAAGCATGTACTGTAACCACCCAATACTCCTTTTGGGTTGCTCACAGGACAAGCCTCATACTGGGGACGCATTCTGACTCTGAAATAATGAAAAGTGAACAGGAATGATGAAATAAGATACTTTACTTTGAACTTGAAGGATGTGGCTTGTGATCTTATCTTCACATCCACCTCCTGCAATGACTGGTAGTTATACTGGGTGTCTGTCTCAAGCTCTACATACTGCCTCGTCGCTGACCAGCCATAAGAGTCTAAGAAAGAATACAAATATTCAAGCACTATGACTGTGTCATATCCGCGCCGATACGGTACGATGACACGCAATCATGCATGTCACCACCCTCTTACGACACACGCATTAATTGACGGAATCCTTGTTTAACTCATTATCACGAATGCATCACTGGCAACAGTAAAAACGTCAACGCCAGTGAATAACCAGTCTCGATTATCCACCGACGCAGATTCCAGTGTCAACCAGAAAATCCACTGATTGACATCAATCCACGCAATAAGGATATGATGATATGCATCAAACAAGTGGGGAATTCTGCCAACCCGATTCCGTTAGTTGCCTCTTACGACAAGCATAGTCGCCTTTTACGGCAAGCATTGGTTGCTGAAGACCTATTCCACCCCGGATCTTCACGGAGAGAGGGAAGCGGTACGGTCATTAGGCCGTGACTACACTGGTTTTACAACCTGTTCACATGTACAGAAACATATGGCTACAGGTCATTTCAAGATACTGGCTAATTGCCATGGAATAAGTAGGAACATGAGAAGCAGTTCTTTAAAAAGGCAATCACGACCTGTGTGTTCAACAGAGTCTTGGACCAGAATAATCATGGTCTACACGCTGAGGGAGGTGTACATGTAGGTGCATTTACCAGTACCTCTAGCTATATTCCAGCTATATGACGGCGGTGTGTAAATAATCGAGTGTGAACCAGACAATCCAGCGATTGACATCATTAGCATCTATCCACGCAATTAGGATATGATGACATGCATCAAGTCACCGGGTCTGACCACCCGATCCCGGTAGTCGCCTCTTACGACAAGGTGCATTTACCAGTTCCTCTACGTTAAAATCTGTCGCCCACGATAGGGCCGAAAAGAGGATAAAAAATGGAGTTTCAAATATCTGTATCGGTTTGTTAATATTTGAATATCCCTCGTCTAATTTAAGGAATGCAAATTACATACGATAGTATTTTTGCATTTGAAGTACCTTGAAAAATGATGTTCCATTATTCTTTAATGCCACACTCAGCAATATTCCAGCTACATGACGATGACGTGTCACTCGTGAAGGTCCGGGTCAGAATAAGCCTCCAGCAACCCATGCTTGTCTCTCCCCCATGAAGATCCGGGTTAGAATTGATCTTCAGCAACCCATGCTTGTCGAAAGAGGCGACTAACGAGATCGGGTTGTCAGACTTGATGACTTGGTTGATGCATTTTATCCTATTCCAGTTGTGCATGCCTAATCGCATGACATCAATCACTGGATTGTCTGGTCCAGATTCGATATAACCAGACAACCATCATACTACTGGGTACGGCGTTGTACAACAAACAATATAAAAAGGAAACGCACAAAATAACCGAGTCGAGTCACGCTATTGGGGTACGATGGCACAATATCAACCAAGTTACCGATCGTAACATGTTTACTTTGCCCAACATCTCACAGTTTGTCGATCGTACTATTTCTTTAAACCCACTAATCAGAAAACCAGCGCTTAAAATGATTAACATGTCCTTGTAAGACGAAGCATGGAAATCGTGAGCTCTTTGGGATGTTTAAAATCAACCCTACCAAACAGTGAACCATGTTCAGGTATCTCCATGCGTTTATCTGGATTGGCCAATTCGACATTGACCTCTCCAAATCAGGACTGACCAAGCAGGTGTCAGCGATGGCTGTTTGATTACATGCAATTTGTTAATATCTACTTGGGTGTCCCACAACTTTTAATACTTACTATTTACGAAGACACAGGTAATGGTCAACAGCAACACAAGCGTCAGGGATGTCATGTTTGCGCGTCAGTGATGTGATACAATTACTGACTTCAATGCAATGCGCAGATGTGAATTTGGGAAGTAATATTGAAACACCATATGTGACGCTTATCATGTGATCTCACAAACGAATATCTATCGAACGCTATATCGCCTTATGGAGATGCAAGAGAAGCAAGCAATATATCTCGTCACAGTTCGTTAAAGTTGTCGACCCACGGAATCCAGTAGCGAAATCCCTAGTGCTTGAATATCGAACAATTTCATTAAAATCAGGGCCCACTTGTACAAAACAATCTTAGTTGCTGTTGATCTTTAGCGCTTACAATCAACTTTACAATTGCTATACCTCAGTCCTATTCCACTTTCACAAACCGGCTTGGATCCAAGACCGCCATCTGACAAAGATCGAAATCTTCAACGGTTGAGGTATGAATATCTTAATCTTGACTCTTGTCTATAGTTGTCTTCAAACGTGCATAGCCTGCAGCGCAAACAAACAGTAGGCAGTTACTACGTCACACGTACCTCCCTCCACCGCACCTCGCACAGTTTAGAAAAGGTCCCAATTATTTGGAGAAAACATACTTACTTTGACGAAATGACTAGGAAACATATTTCTTCTTGCATTGATACCGTCGTAATTTTGGAATTGTGAGTTTGATATTCAAAAGGAGAAATCTCCTACTTTTATGAAAATATTGTAATACAAAAAACACAACCATATTATTTTCTTTATATTAAGTGACATAATAATTATGATAATTAAATAAACATTGACAATACTTTCGTATAATAGAACGTCCAGTGATTGTCATAAGATCATTTGTTTAACATGTATCTTATTGTGGGAGCGTTTCGTTTCGTATATCCTACATGTATAGAGTTTGTTGCTATAAGAGAGAGTTTGGTTTATTGCCTCCTTGTATTGCAGTTATATCACATCTTGTCAGCTTGATGTTGGAGGAAAGCCCTAAGTGATACAGTTATTAACTTGTTTTCACTCTACCACTGGTAAAACCCAAGGGCACGATTGTGGTGCTGACAAATCTACAAACAAAAAACTGGACGAACCTGGATTCGAACTGGCGATCAGCGGTTTCCCAGGGGACGCTTCTCTGAACAGTGAATTGCAGCACCTGAGACGACTCACCAGTGGCCCCTTCTCCTGTAAAAAAAAGGATTTTGTGACCACTTTTTCAGAAAGGAAAGACGAAGATTGTGAAGACAACATGGAATAAGAATAATTTTTAGATAGTGTTTTTTCTATATATATCCACTGTGTATTAACTATATATCAGCTAATTAATCAATCAATTAATTAATGAATAATATATGAAGAATAAGAATGTTAATTTTGCTTTCCATAACATATTTTACATAAATTCAGAATGTCTGACGTGTATGTTCTTGATCGATGAATTATTGAATTTATTTACAATTCATATTTACTCAACAACAAAAGTTCATGCGACATCAATATTTTAGTGTATTTTTCAAACAAGTTTGGTTTTCAATATTGTAGTACGTTCATGGAATCAAGTCACAAAAACGCAACTGCTACAGAAAAGAATGCATTTGTTGTATATAGTACTTTTCACCCATTGTAAGTGCATTCAGTTAAATTTGCATCCCCTGTGTAATATATTCCGTGTTTTCAAGGGTGTAAGTAATTACATGTTGATTGTCTCGTCCACGGTCTAAGGGAAATCACTCTGTCAGTCCTCTGAAAGTTGTGCCGCTTAGCGCACTGTCAAATTGAAGGCGCTTACGTCATTGGCTGATGTATCTTTGTCAGCCATGTTTTATGAAACATTAACTGATGTGACCCAAATCTTTGTTGTTTTTAGGTATGTATGATAATTAACGGTCGCTATAAGACCACAACATATGTAATTATGTAGATAAGAAAATGTAGATTTGAAAAAAACATATTTGGCTATATAGATAATGTTGTAATTAGATAATTACTTGCTTAACGATAACGCTGCGCCCAGTCAGTGTTCACGGACGACATGGTAGCGAAGGACAGTCAAGGTCATTTGTCGTTTCAGCACTCACACAGATATATATGATGTGTATCGCTGTCAAACATGTACACACACGCCTCAGGCAATGTTTTCAAGCAAAAGCTAGGATAAAAAGCACTATTTGTCCACACCGCGCTGATCGTTTATATTTGAGGTCACGTGACCTCCCACATTTTCATGTACATCGTTTAGCATACTTTCGTTGTATATTTTGTAATAACACACTTCAAGCATATAGCGTTATCATTGTAAATATAACTTTTCTGCATTAAAACATCATAATTGAGCTGAACCAATATAAGTTACAGCATATCCCATTTCATTGCATAGCATCTGTCTCAGTTAAAGGGAGGTAATTCTTGTTGTCTTGTTTACACACTGATTTTATGACAATTCACAATGTAATGCATGTGTACTCATTTATAAAATAATCTGTGCAATTTCTTAGTTTTCATTTGTAATAACAAACTAATGGGAGTATAATTCATTAAGGTATTATTTTCACACAGAACATATGCCAAATATATAATTAGTTCACTTTTATAGAGTATTTGATGATTTATGCAATGTTCTAATACAGTATGGAAAATTAGCATCTTAGTGGTGTTATGGTTACGATTACTGCATGGATTTATCTTTTATGGTTTCTTGAAAGATGATATTAATGTTATCAACTAATTCCATTGCAAGTTGTGTTGATGGGTCTTGTCACCTAATGTTGACATTGAAAATATAAGTAACCAAGAACTGGTATTATAATATTTTATTGTATGCCTAGTATAATTAATGAGTGTTGATATTTTATCCGTTGCGCCACACCAAGTTGAAAATTTGAAGCATAAACATGATGTTTCTTTTGTCAGCCATGTTGTATGAAACATAAACTGATGTGACCGAAATTCTTTGTTGTTTTCAGTTGTCAATGTGAGCAATTGTGACCTGGGTAACACATCCCATGCAAAGGTTGAATTTTTCCAAGCCCCATGCATTTCACCGTCCAAGAATTGGTATAAAACCACGTGCGTTAACGGGATTCCATATGCATTGTTAAGCATCGTTCTGACAACAACCACTCAGAAAAACAACAAAATTACGCAATTTTTAAACATTACGAAATGCCACGCCTGTCCGAAAATGAGTGTCTGCGAGCCATTGGTATGCTTGAAGCAGGATCGAGTCAATGTGATGTTGCAAGACAATTTAACGTCCACAGAAACACCATTTGTTGTTTATGGCAACGTTTGCAACAGACGAATGCAGTCAGAGACAATCCTCGGAGTGGCAGGCCACACGTAACCAGTAATCAACAAGACAACTGGATTTGAACATCACACCTACGAAATCAATTCCAGCCAGCAACAGTGACTGCAAGAAACATCCCTGGCCTTCGACGAATATCTTCACAAACCGTACGTCGCCGCCTCAGATGTGCAGGGATTGTCGCTAGAAGACCCGCCAGACGTCAAATTTTGACATGATACCACCGTCAAGGACGTCTACAGTGGTGGAGACAGCGTCTACGCTGGACGGCCATGCAGTTGGGACAAGTTCTATTCACTGACGAGTCTTGTTTTCACCTCAGCCACAGCGATGGACAGATTCGAGTATACAGACGTCGAGGTGAACGTTACGTCAATCACTGTGTGATGGAAGAAGATCGGTTCGGGGGCGGCAGCGTTATGGTATGGGATGGGATTACAGCAAGCCAGAGGACCCGTTTGATAGTGGTAGATGAATTCTCAATTGACTTGTCCCCACTGCATAGCCGTCCAGCGTAGACGCTGTCTGCACCACTGTAGACTTGCTTGACGGTGTCTGACCGAACGAAGGGCAAGGTCACCACCGGAATAAAAGACAACCGTGACCTTCTCACAGCGTTTTACGCTAGATATAGGGAATGTTGTTGTTCCCATTTTGGATATTTTGGGCAACATAGTCAGAAATCAGGCACACTTCTACGGAGTTTTCGAATAATTTGTATCGGAAATGTTCACTTTGAGTGATCTGGACGTGCAGTCGTGAACGAATGACTCCCGAAACAGTGCAAAAAAAAACGCTTCGAAGGGGACACTGATGGCACAACTGGATCACCAGAATGCAAACCGAATTTATTTGATCTGTGTGCCTATCATGTTTGGTTTAATAAAGTGTTTGTAAATACCTCTCGCTCTCATGGGTATGCTTCAATTCTGCCTCGTAGTTGGTAACTAATAATGAGTTTTCTTAATACATTACAGTTTCAGCCGAAGGGAGTTTACATATAGCATCAGTGTCTGACGTACCTGATTACAAACATGAGAATGGGCACATGAAGGAGCAAGCAGGTAGTATGTCCATTATTTCAAATTGTATGCATTTGTACAGCATTTCTCTATGAATGCTGGTAGTGTAGCCTCGTGACGCCGAAGGCGCGATTATTGCTCAAAAGTTGATAAAATCATACACGCACACTCACTTAACTGTGTTAATATCATTTTACCATACCCATTATATAAAGAGTAACCTTTGATATTGTGTCATCTTCATTGGTTGATTTGAAGTGATAATTGTTTCTGTAATGGCATTTAAATTCTCCTGACGTTTTATAGCCAATAGGAAGAAGCTACTTTATTGAAAGCATATTGGGGGAGGTTATTCGTAACATAATTTGAATTACTCCCCCTGAAACCCTGATAACCCTCAGAGCGTTCCTTTATCTTTCGAAAGCATGGTAGGTACCTTTCCTGGCTCGTAAAAACGACACGTCCAATGCAGCACATGTATGTTACGCTCCCCCGTTCATGGCGACATCCACACAGCAAACTGTCTCCGATATCAGCCAAATGTGTATTCCACTAGCTGGGGATGATTGGGGGGATATTGTCCCACAGCATATTAAAGATTTGGAATCATGAGTATGTGGATTTAGCCAGAATGCTCTAAACAACTAAGGGATCATCATATTCTGATAGAGGTTTAGTAGGTGTAATGGGCCTAAATAACAGAGGCAATCTGGAGATAAACCGCCAGCAGTCCAAGATTAA